GGGTGGGAGGTGTGTGCGCGCGTGTGCCGCGCGGTGGGGAGCAGCGGATCGCGCCGCCGGCTGTCAGCTAGCTCGGCGCCACCGCCCGATGGCTCGTGGAGGCGCGCGAGCCCAGCCCCGGGGGGCAGCCCCCGGCCGCGGGTGAGCCCCTCTGTCGCCTGCGAGCATGTCACCTCCAGACGCCGCGGTAGCCTCCGCCAGCAGTGCCCGCGTCCCCGCCTCTCGCAGTCTTAGCCGCTGCCTGGGGCATCGGCCCCCGGACACCCGCCCCTGATCCACGCCTGGACCCGCTCGCCGGAGGACCATGGCCGCCCAGGGGGACTGTTGCGTCAAGGTGGCCGTCAGGTAGGAACCTGAGGTGGCGTGGCGCGCGTGGGGAGGACTCGGGCTTTGTCTCGCGTGGGCGCGGGCGCCGATCGAGCCGATGCCCGCACTCCCGGAGGAGGGGCCCCCGGCGTGGATGGCGGGAGGGCGCCGCGCGCTTGCAGGGTTGCCGCAGCGAAGCGACGGCCCCTTGGGCGGGTAGAAGGTGGCTTTGTTTGGGTGGTAATTTCAGGCCCCTCTTGGGAGCCCTTAATGATCAGAAAATCGAATAAACAAGGAAATCCGGTATTTCACACCCAGCCCTGGCCAGGGCTGGAGCCTGTGTGTTTCCTCTTCGCCTCCCCACGGTCTGTTGTCTCCTAAGGGGAGATCTGAAGCGTTGGGGGGATGCCCCCTTGTCTACTCAACGGTGGCTTCTGTGCTCTGGGCCCCGCAGGAGAAGGCAGCGTGCCGCCCTGGGGGAGCCGGCTTGGGCAGACCAAGATCGGGTGCGGGATGAATGGAAGGGCTGGGATGTGCGGTGGCCTTCGGTAGAAAGTGACTAGGCTTCGAAGAGAGCCCTGCTGTCCATGCCCCAGGAGGAGGTGGGTCTTGGGAAGGGCGGAAAAGGTGCACCTGAGGTTTGCCTTTGAGAAGACAAGAGGGCGGCGAGATGCTGACACCCCAGGTACTCAGGTAAAACCCGGCTGAGGAGGGCTCAATGAGCTGCCCTAGAACTGATTTCCTGACCCGACTGCAGCGGGGAGGACGCAGTGGAGAGAACCCATACAGAGGGCCGGGGGCAGGAAATGCTGGGTGGAGACCATTTGCACCATACTATCCCTGCCTGTTTCTGTTGGGGGTTTCTCTTAGAAGAGAGGGTGATCTCGAGTAGGGGAGTCCCCGCCTGGGATTGGCCAGCAAGGTAGGACTGGTGAGGGGAACCGTCATCCCTGCCCCAGTCATGTGCGTTGGGGGTGAGAGGACCCAGGTCCCAAATGGGTCTCCGGGAAGACTTCCAGCTTCCCTGGGTCCCAGGTGACCTCGATCCGATCCGGGGGGTGTCCTAGGGAACACCTTCGAGACCGAGTCAGAGATGACCGTGAAAAAACCTCCCTCCTCCTGGCCGCAGATGCCCTAGCCACCTGGCCAGTCCACTGCAGCCTGGAGCGGAGGAGCTGACCGCCGCCCAGGCTAAGGCTGAGGGAGGTGGACGGATGCGTCCTCACCCCTGCGCCGCCAGGTCACACTCAGCGGCACCCGAGCACGGCCTCGCTGCCCCAACTGCCAGAGAGACAAAGGAGGAGCCCTGCAGGTGCCTGGTGGGCTGGCCAGGGCGGGGCCAGCCGCCGCCGAGGCTGACATTGCAGCAGGCTCCTGTGAAGGCCGAGGGAGGAGCGGTTGTGGGTGAGGGAGTTGGAATGAGAAATGTAAATATGGCATCTGATCTGCAGCAGGCTGGGAGAGAGTCGTCTAAGGGAAATGAAGCCCCAGCCCCCACCCAAAGTGGGCCCGGGGCCGGAAGGAAGGGGTTGGGGAGGTGCCCTCCCCTGGGTGTTTTCAACTGTCTAGTAGTAAAAGGAGCTAAACAAAGCACCTCCCTCCTCCCACTCCCATACCTGTTTGCTACTTCCATCCCTGGGCTCAGGGCCCCTAGGCTGGACAGAGCCTTAGTAAAGTGTGGAATGGGCGCTTTATGTAGAGGAATGGGGGAAGCTAATGTTTCCCATGCTACCCCCTGTCCCCCCCACCCACCCAAGCAGGACCTGCCTGGGACCTTTGCACAGAGGGGGATGGGTGTCACCTTTGCACCCCCCATCCCCAGCCCTCTGTTACTGATCTGGGTAGAGGAATAAGAGGAGCTGAGCATCAGATAAACCACGCTTTCAGGGACTCCAGGAAGGTGAGGGCCCCTCCTCCCCACTCCCCGCCAGTAGGAGTGCCCAGCCCGGCACACGCCAGACCTCGATGGGCAACATGCCGTGGAAGGCAGACAATGCCAGGACAGAGCCCAGTTTCTAATCAGAGTTGAGGATAGGGCTGCACTGAGCTGGGGAGGGGAAGCAGCAGAGGATGCCACCGAGGGGCTGGAGGGGGACTTCTCAGTGCCTCTGGGTTCTCTTCTAAGCCCACCCTCAGCCTCACCCTCACCCTCACCACCCCAAGAGATCCCTTGCTCCACTGACAGGGCTGCCTGGCTGGCTGGAGTATGGGGGTGAGGGGCCAAGAAAATGGGACTGTGGAGGGAGGCCCCATCCTGCTCCATCCCTGGGCTCACTGCCTCCTACCAGGTTCTGTTGCCTATCTGGGCGTCCTTACTTGTGTCTAGCTGAAGTGTTTTCTGTGTTCCCAGGAGAATAGCTTGGGGTTGAGCCTTGGAGTCCAGCTCTTGGGAGAGAGAGAGGCAGGAGTGAGGGAGCCAGCCTTTGTCTGGTATGTGTGTGGGGGTGGGGGTGGGGGCGAGGTGAGCAGTGCCTGGCCCTGGGCTCTTGGGCCTCTAATCTTGGGATGAGAATCCAAGCCGGCTGTCTGCTGAGGGCTGTGGGGAAGCCTTGGGCTGAGAGAGCCAGGGCAGGAGCTGGGCTGCAGGAGAAGAGGAAAAGGTCCAGGCTGTAAGCACACCTCAAAGCCTCTCCCCAGGCCTCCACCTCGGCCCAGCTTTCCAGGCCAGTCCCTCAGGCCTGCTGGGATCCCTTTATCCACTAAGCTCTCTGCAAGACAAGGGTGCCGGGTTCCTGGGCCAGGCTGACCTGGAGTCCGTTTTAACCTAGTGTCCGCCACCACCCTGCCTTCGCAAAGCTGGGAAGAGGTGAGGCCCAGCTATCACCTGCTCCCAAGCTGCAAAAGCCTAGGCCTTGGGGGGAGAAGGGGAAGGGGTGGCTGTGTTACAAAATGCAAGTTGGCAAAGTTGAAATTGGGGAAGGAAGCCAAGTCACATGGTGAGTTTATTTAAGACCCTTTCAAACCCCCCAGCTCTGAGCCCCCACCCTGAGGGGGAGCTTTCAGTGTTGCCTAACCCCCCACCCCCACCCTCTTATCTCTGCCTGGCTTCCCTAAGCTTCCTTCCTTTTAGCTGGCTGGGGAGGGGGAGGTGCCCCTGGTGGTCTCAACCCATCAGTTAACACTACTGGAGTGAGTAGGGGAAGAGACCAGCTTCCCATCGGAGGGGCAATGTTAGAGCTCCTCTCTCCCTCTTGCCCTCGCCCATCTGGACCCTGAAGCTGCAGCTATTTCCCTGGTTCTGGGCTATGCAGAAATCTTGATCTGTGAGTGAAATTTGAACCCAGAGCTTTAGTGCCTTGGCAGAAGACAGAAGATGTTGTGTGAGGATGAGGATCTGACAGCATCTTCTCTTTGTGACAGCCCCCAAGGGCAGCCAAGACCCATCCATGCCAACAGTGCCCAGGATTGTCCAGATCCATGGCCCAGATGGGACTGCAGGGAGGCTGTGTGGAGACCTGAGCATCTTGCTGGTGTCCTCCAGTTGCAGAAATAGGGCTTATGTCACCACACGGAAGTGGAGCCGAGTAACCACAGGCCCCGGAAACCGTCCCCCACTCCCTGTTCCCCGCCACCCAGCCAGCCTGCCTGATTGGATCTCAGCTTTTGGAAACTTGTAGTGTGGAAGTCGGGTGGGGTTGGGCAGAGGAAGCGGCAGAGGTGAGGTGTGCCCGGCACCCTCACTCTTCCAGCTCTGGGTGCAGAAGGCAGGCCCCAGATTGAGGCAGTTCACCCACAGCTGGCGTCGTGGGCCCCTGCCCTGTGTGCTCTCAGAGCCTCCGTTTTACAAACCACAGCCGGTTTGCTCTTTGGTCTCAAGCTGCAGATGGAACTTGAGCTTTCTCTGTGAAGAGCCGTGGTTTGGATGGAGTCGAAGGAAAACAGTCCTTAGAGGGAACAACATGCAGGGGTGAGCTCCTTAGACGTTCCAAACCCACAGCCATTGAATCGACTCTCTGCGACCCTGTAGGACAGACTAGAGCAGTAGTTCATACAGGGTCCCCATGCTGTCATCTTTCCAGAAGCCTTATCTGTTTCCCACAGAGCGGCTGGTGGGTTGACAGCCGTTTGACCAACAGCCAAGTATATTAACCACTGTGCGTGCCATCAGGGCTCCACGGGTCGGTGGTTCAAACCTCCCAGCTGCTCTGCGCGAACGAGACTATCTGTTCCTGTGAAGATTTATAGTGATGAGTCAGAATCGACTTGATAGCCCTGGGTTGGGTTTGGGTTTAAGTGTACCTAAGAGGTTTCTCTCTTGTTTAAGCTGTGGTGGATAATTTGGAAGAATGAAGGTTTTACCCCAACCCTTTTGCCCCCATTATTTTTAAAGAACTAACCAAAAAACCCCAATCCACTGCCATTGAGTCGATTCTGACACACAGTGACCCTCCCTAGGATTTCCCAGTCTGTAAATCTTTATGGGAGCAGACAGCCTCATCTTTCTCCTGTGGAGAGACTGGTGGGTTTGAACCACCGATGTGTGGTCAGCAGCCCAATGCCTGGACCACACTGCCACCAGGGTTCCTTAAGAACAGAGGTGAGTTGTGATGTAAGGTAGAGAGAACTATGGGTTCACTAAAAATAACCATTACTTATCGAACATTTACCTTGTACCAGGCATGGTGCCTAAATTATCTCATTTCACCCCACTGCAATGCTGCAAGGTAGCCTGTGTTACTCCCCTTGGGTAGCTGAGCAGACACTCAGAGGGAGGGTGCAAGTTGGCGAGTGGAAGAGCCTGAGCCCGAACTCAGGGCACTCCCTTCCAAGCTCCTGCTGCACATTGCCTCCTAGTACGGCTGTGAATTCTCTCTGAGCTGAGCCTTGGTTTCTTCGAACGCTGAGCTGTACACAGTTGCCAGGAGTATGAGGAATAGGGCGAACTGCTTCGGAGAGCACTCAGCGCTCCGTGGAAGCTGATCGTGAACCTCCTTTCAGGGTTGTAGCTTAGGGTAAGGTGCTGTCACTACCAGTTTCTGCCTCCTCCACATCTGCCGGCCCCCAGTGTGTGGAAGCATCTCCCTCCCGCAGCAGGCGTG